TAGTTTTCTATCACTAACTAGATGCTGGTTGGAAAATTTTGGGAACTGAAGTTCACCCATCTTAAAGTTGCTAAGAGTGAGAATCACTGAAATAGAGCTTTACCTCTTGACTAAGAGTCAAAGGTTTTTTTTTTTTTTAAGTAATAGGTTCCACAGTCTGAAAACGTTTAAAATTCTGCCCTAGACAAATAGCCTTAATTAGATACTTGGTACAAGAAACCGTTTATTGTATTTTAAATCTTTAGCTTCTTCACGTGAGCTAAAGTATGAGTTTCAACTCAACTTTTACAATGTTTCTTTCCCTTCTGTTTATATAATCACAAATTTCTATGTGCATTTTAGGCACATAGAAAATTGATCTGGTTGTGCTGGTTTTATTTAAGAAAATGTCAGTGCTCTGAGAAATGAGTAATAGATTAAGACAAGTTCTAAATCCTATTCCTAGAATAGAACAAAAGAATCTTTATCTTTTCTTTAAAATGGTTCTGAGAAAAATAGGCATGTTATTCTCAAATTGCTTATTCTGGATCATATCCTGAGGAGGTTAATTTAATGTGTATGAATGTAAGAAGATACAGATCATTGTGACTTCATGCTTATGGAGTATTGTTGAAGTCATGGCATGTGAAAATGCTTCCTGCTGAATCAAACTATTGCTTCAGCCTAGGGCAGGTGTGGGCAATTTAGGGCTCTCCAGTTAATTTCATGCAGTCCTTGGCCTAATTTCAATCCCACCCACCCTCCCTCCTATCTGCCAAGTTTAGACTTCTGGTAAGAGCTACTTGCTCTTTACTGGAGGAGGGAACAGGATGTCAGAAAGAGCAAAAAGATGAGTATCCGAAGTAAAATACGGTACTTTGGGCTTTGCCTCTATTCACTTCTTGCTGTAGGCTGACCCAACCTGAAGCATCAAACAGATTATTAAGGAACTATGGGACTTAATAGGTTGTTTTTTTTTTTGCCTAACTCTAGTTTAGTTAGTGTGGAATTAACTATTACAAGTGCCAACATCTTTTCAGATCCTGCCTGGATAGGTGAGAATTGTGGGGAAAAGTTTGTAACTCAGCTAATTGTATACCTCCACCATCTTCAGGATTCAATTTCTGCATTACAAATTAAAATTTGCTTATACCTTATTCAGTATGTGCCAAGGTATGCCAAAATATATGGTCTGGGAGCCAACATACATAAACTCTACTATTTTTCTCTAACTACTAGGTGCTCAATTGTCACATGAATAAGCTCCAAGTTGTTGATTCTGAAAAATAGTATTAATGCTTTGGCTTTTGTTTTTAAATGATATCACAACTGTTTAGCCAATTAGTAACCTAGAATCTAGGAGTTACACCAAATACAGAACTAATTGAGTTCCTATGCCATTATAATTATAGAGTTACCATTATGGTAACCTGAAAATCCTTGTGCAAGTTATAATAAGGATAATTTAATACTAAATTAAATAAATCTTCTCCAAAGATGGAAAATCCATTTGCATACCTACTTATTTATTTATCATCTGCCCACTCTTACATTTCTTACTCCTTAGAAAAATCTTAAATGTAGCCTCTGGCAATAAAAACATTTCTCACTGTTGAGCTCTAGCAAAAATGAGGAGCTTGCAATCTCCAGATGTGGCTCAACTAAAATTCTAGTAATCCCAGCAACCTAGACCAACAGTGACAGAAGTTGAGATTGCTATGTCACCCCTATTTGGAGTGCCAGATCTATAGCTTATCTCACTCTCTATTTCTTCTAGTAATACTAATGTGTATATACATAGTTCAGGGCTGAATTGTGAAGCCTTTGGTGTTGAGATAAAATGGATGGATGGATGGACAGAAGAAGATATAGATATCTAAATATCTCTATCTGTCTGTCTATCTACTGTATCTGCAACCTGGTTAATGTGGTAGGATCAAGAAGAACCCAGATTTAAGTTCATCCTCAAACATGGAAGCTCATTGGATGACTCTAAACCAAATGCTGTTTGTCAGCTCCATTGACTCATTTGTTGTGGTGAGCAAAGAACACTGTATGTAAGGCCTTGACTTCCTGGAGGAAAGTCAAGTTACACATCTAATGAAGTGATCAATTCTTACATCAAACTTGTTGTTAAAGTAAAACATTTTTAAAAAGACTTTTGAAAAAAAAATAGAGATTGATAGCTTCTTGGGCACTAGTGATGGCATTATTAATGGATGTCTGGCAAAAAGAAGAATGGGAGAACAAAGGGTAAAGCAAATGAAAGCAGAATCTTATGCAGGCATAAACATAATAAACATGTAAATAAAAGAGCAAGCTAACACATCCAACTGAGTTTAACAGATGTGTTCCTAAATAGAGGAGCATAGGTTTATCCTCTAAAAGGTAGAATTTGTATCTGAAACACCAAGAAGATAAGTCAAAAAGAATTATATAGAAAGGTGACATTAGGAATAAAGTCAAGATTCACAAAATCAGTGTCTTAGGTGCCCTACTTTGTGGCAATAGTATAAGGTTGGGCTATCAGAGGGACATTTTGCTGTACAACAAAAGTATTTTGTTGCCTTAATTACATCTTTGTATAATTCATGTTTACTTGAAAGAATGGTTACTATGTGAATGCTTCACTAGAAGTTTCTCAGATGCACCCTGAAAAATGGTCCACAAAATACATTCAAAGGTTAACTTGTAATTTTTAAACACATTTAATTCACCAGAAATGTGGAAAACAGCCAAATGATTTTGTGTGTTCTTTACTTGCTTCACTATTAAGGTTGTGAATTTCTGTATCCATGGTGGAGAAAGCATAAACTAAAAAATAGCTTTAGTTACAGAGGGTTTATTGAAACCACAAAATATTTTAAGTCATTCTGCAAAGACCATAAACTTTCCATAAAACTTTTAACAGTAACATTGACTCAATAGGACAATTTGCGAAGAATACTGTGTGTGTGCCTTAGAATAGTTTTTCTTCTATCCCCAAGTATACCAAATATTTTCCCCAAGATCTTCTTTTAAAGTTGCAGAATATTTTCTTTGAAGGACTGCTTTTCTAAAACAGGTCTTGAAAACTTTACATGTTAATTTAGTACAGAACTTGTGGAATGGTGTTCTAAAATTTGGGGTGCATACATCATCCCCACCCTAATGTGCTTTTGGTTTAGTTGTACAATCCAGGATATTATAGTTTATAATATCTGAAATAAATTGTGTTTTTGTCAACAACCTATGTTTAACACTGAACATTTAAAAGAAGAATGGCTTAAAGGTTGAAATATGATCAGCAAATTTTGAAAATCCAAGTTCTTTTTCCTTCAGTCACAAAGCCATAAGCTGATCATTCTATGTAAAAATGATCATTCTATGTAAAGAATTTCAGATAAAATTGGGAGAGAGTATAAGAGTAAGATAAAGAGTTATGCTTAAGCATTGCATTGACATTGGGATAAGCCTCCTGGGAATGCCAAGGGAATTTATCAAAACCATTAAAAGTGAAAGTTAGAATATTTCGGACATGTGATGCAACATCCAGAAAAATACGGCATACTTCACTTAATCCTCCAGGAAAAGATTGAAGGCAAACAAGGTTCAGGCTTCTGAACATCATGGCTTCAAAATCTAAGTGACTGGTTTGGACAAAACTCAGCAGCACTTTTTTGAGCGGCTGTTGATAAAAATATGATTGCCAATGTCCAATGACGGAAGAAGGAGAAGGACTTTGGGAAGAGCCAGAGTCTAATCATCCTCAGACAAGGAACTTCAGTTGACCAACCATTATCTCACAGTCTAATCCAGTATTTCTCAAAGTTGGCTGGGGAATTATGGGAGTGGAAGTCCATCCATCTTAAAGCTGTCTATACATTTAACCTATCTGAGGATAAAACTGAAAGAGGAAGTGATACTTTAATGCCTGGGGAAAATAAACTTAATAGCACCCATTTGTTGTCTTAGCCTTCTTGGGGAGCATAAATTAATAACAATCACATTCTTTAAAGCCAAATGATGACACTTGCAATAAAACCGCAAGATTCTGCTTCAGTGACCTATGTTGTAAGGTCAACATTTTTTTAGAGTATTAAGAAATATCTGATTGAGTGCCGTTTCTTGTGAGGAAGCTGTAAATGGTCAGTGAATAAGTTAATTCAATGTTGTTGTTTTAGAAAACTTTTGCTGAGCGTTGTTGAACTGTATCAAGAAAGCTTCCTAAGTGCAGAAAATTGAAGCTGGGAGTGTTTACACTTAACCGAGATGGCCTTAGCTGGAAGTACCTTGCCAATCTATGCATGCTACAAAGGTGAGCCCTATTTCACTAACATTGTTTTGCCCGTAAAATATGAATTTGTTGAAAATGAAGCTTCTGAAAGGTAAGTGAGTCTTTTGCATAGCAATCTCTTGACAGCGCCAATAGTTCGTTCTTGGACAAAGGTCTTCAAATTTGGCAGCTTTAAGACTTGTGGACTTCAACTCCCAGAATTTTCCAGCCAGCATAGCATAGCATAGCATAGCATAGCATAGCTGGCTGGAGAATTCTGGGAGTTGAAGTTTTAAAGCTGCCAAGTTTGAAGACCTCTGCTCTTGGACCTAGAGAACTGCCAAGTGCAGCTTTCCCCACCAACTACTTTTCACGTACGTTGAACTTGAACGCCTCATCATTATGCCCCACAAAAAGAAATGTTGGCTGGGGAGAGAAGAGAAAGTGAAAAAGCCCCAGCGTATTTCTGCGCTGTCTGATTTTGGAGAGCCAAGAAATCAGGTGACTCGGCAGCAAAAAAGATTCAAAACACGACCTCCCTGCTCCTATTTGAGATCGCCCACGTTTTACACCCCAGAACTTAATGAGGAGCACCAGGTTGGGGAAGGCGCCTGCCTGTTTAGAACGCCCGATTGGGAGGTCCTCTGCCCCCCCCCCCCCCCCGCGCGCAAGCTGTTGACTCGGGCACGCGCTTCATTCGTCCCCGAGACCAACGGTCATACGCGCAAGCGGCAGCCTCAGCGCCCAGCCTACGGCGAGGCGAAGACGACCCACGGGGCGGGGCTTTGCGAGGCCAAAGGTGAACGGTGTCAACATGGCGTCTTCAATGGAGCTGAGTTGCTGGGGCGGCGACTGGGGGTTGCCCTCTGTGCACGCCGAGTGCCTTGTTGTCATGGTAACGGGGGGGAACTTGCCAGGTCACGCGAGTGAAAGCCTCTTGTGGGGAGGAGAAACGAAAACTGCTGCTATAGATTATAGAAGGCGACGTCCTACAAAAACGGGAGGGTTATCCGGTTCTGGATGCTGCAAGAACCGGCCCGGTGGGCCCGGTCGCGTCCCTGGAGTAGAACTGGGGAAACGGAACGTCCGCGTTTTCATGGCTGTTGTTGGGCTGTCTTCCCCAGAAAGTTGAAACGAGTCTGCATAAATGGGGCATCAATTCTAGATGGAAATAAAATGGATTAAGTATTGCGGCGTTAGCTTTCGAGGTCTATACCTTGGTGCATCGCAGGGACGGGCAGTATCTCCCAAATAAAGTAATTAGTAAAGTAATTAGGAATTGCCTTTAATGCCGGTCTTAATTTAATCCAACCACCATGCTTGACAATGATGAGGGATGCTCCCAATTCAACACATTTGGAAAGCATGGAGTTGAAAAACTGCTATAATCTGATAGCTGCAGGATATATTTGCTGAGTTATTAGATCGATGCTTTCCATCTTCAGAAGGCAAACTTCCTCTGACCTTATTTATGAACTACAATATTTTAATTGTTTCCTTTTTTTATATGCAGACATGGAATTTGCATTGTTTTTCTTCAGGGAATCCGCATGGTTTTTTCTTTAGATGCTAATTATTTGAAGCTCATCCCACAATAAATCCATTCTTTGGCAGATGTATCTGAAGTACACTGGGTATATATATTATAAAAATAAGATTAATGATTGGTCTGACTTCTAAGCAAACATATATGGGGCTAAACTGAAGAAGAGGACCGTCTGGTTTCTGAAAATATGATATAGCAATAGCACTTAGACTTATATACCGCTTTATAATGCTTTACAGCCCTCTTTAAGTGATTTACAGAGTCAGCATATTGCCCCCAACAATATAACAGAATAACAGAGTTGAAGGAATCTTGGGGGTCTTCTAATCCAACTCCCTGCTCAAACAGGAGACCCTATACCCGTGATGGCGAACCTATAGCACGTGTGCCATAGGTGGCATGCAGAGCCATATCTGTGGGCACGTGAGTATTGCCCTACCTCAGCTCCAGCACGCATGTGTGTGCCGGCCAGCTGATTTTCGGGCCTTCTGGGCTCACCGGAAGTCGGGAAACAAGCCATTTCCAGCCTCCGGAGGGATGGGGAAGGCCGTTTTCACCCTTCCCAGGCTCCAAGAAAGCCTCTGGAGCCTGAGGAGGGTAAAAAACAGGCCTACTGGGCCCACCTTTTTGCCGTCGCGTGCCAAAAGCAGGGGAGCGCAGTAGGGTTGCGCACGCATACATGGGGGGCGCTGGGGGGGCATTGAATTATGGGCGTGGGCACATGAGAGCACGACCTCCCTGCGTTCCCCCCATTTTTGGCACATGACGGGAAAAGGTTAGCCATCACTGCCCTATATCATTTCAGACAAATGGTTGTCCAGTCTCTTCTTAAAAGTTATCTGTGATGGAGCACTTAACAACTTTTGAAGGCAAGCTGTTTCACTTGTTAATGTCAGAATTTTCTCCTTAATTCTAGCTTGGTTCTCTCCTTGATTAGTTTCCATACATTACTTCTTGTCTTGTCTTCTGATGCTTTGGAAAATAGGATGTGACTCCATCTTCTCTGTGGCAGCCCCCCAAATATGTCTCAAATATGTCTCTGGTAACATCACAGAAGCTCCACAGGAATTAATGTTATTGACTAAAACTGCCTTTCCCAAACTTGTGCCCTTCAAATACTTGTATTACAACTCTTAGTATGCTGTAAAACTGAGCATTCTGAATGAGATTGATAAAACTTGAAAAAGTAGTAAATTCAAGGGCATTGGATTGAGGAAAGTTGGGTTTCATTCGGAAGTCTGGTGTTCTTTCAGGACTGATTCTGAGCTAATAATGATTTAAAATATGTGTCAGCATTTATAATTCCTATATTGTTTGTCTTAAGATAAACTAGATTCATATGTGGAAAAATTAAAAATGGATATTTTCCATTTCCAAATATATGTATTTATAATCTCAGGAAGTGAGATTTTATTTTGTTTGTTTGTTTGTTTCTTCAGCCAGCCAGCCAGCCAGCCGTTATTTTTATTAATAACTCTAGGCAGTGAACATATCTAATACTCCTTTCTCCTCCTATTTTCCCCACAACATTAACCCTGTGAGGTGAGTTGGCCAACAGAGAATGAGTGACTGGACCAGTCATCTAGCTGGCTTTCATGCCTAAAGTGGGACTAGAATTTATAATCTCCTGTTTTATTGGCCAGCATCCTAACCACTAGACTAAACTGGATTCAACTATTTAGCTATTTGTAGGATTCAATTATTTTGCTTTGCTAAATATTGGTTTAAAAAAACCCCAGCTCTTTAAATCTAGCTCTCTTCTAGTGGCCAATTAATATTCCACTGAAATTTGTAGAATTAATGGATAATTTCCTATTGATTATTATAGCTTTGATGCTTACTATGGCAAGAGCATAAGCATGAACATTAAAGGAAATAAGTAGATGCTGTTTTTCCAAGCTGAGTAGTCATTTTCTCTTTTTAAAAATTTCTGAATGGTATATTATTGAATTGTGTGTTTTTTTTTTAACTTTTATTACAGACTTATGCCAGGTTTTCCGGTGCACCATTGAAAATCAGTGTAATAGATAATGCATGGAACGCACCAAGAGGTATTACTTTAATATTTTAAAAGTTTTATGGCACATTTAAAGTCAGACCTGGGCATTTTATGGCCTATGCACCACATCTGGCCCTTTGACTGCCCCTGTCTGACCCATGGTGGTGGGAGGGGGAGGCAACAAGGGATAGGTGGGCGTGGGGGACGCCGGCACCAGCCCTCCACAACTATCCCAATTTCTCACCCTGATTGTATATATATTTAGAACTGTTTAAATAAGAAATTGGTTTGACTTGGCTTATAGTCCAGTCTTGAAATACAAAGCAAACAGTGGATAGAATCTAAATAAAGTTTGTTTTATATCTGCACTATGTTGCAAAGCAAGTGCAGCAAAATATTGAATAAATTGTGGTCCCCAACCTTTCTGGCACAAGGGACTGGCTTTGGAAGAAATATTGTCTTCCACAGACCGGAGGGAGGAGTGGTTTTGCATGTAACCTAGATCCCGCGCATGCACAGATGGAGCGTCGCTTGCTTGCCTGCTGTTTGTGCAACCCAGTTCCTAACAGACCATGGACTGGTACAGGTCTGTGACCTGGGGGTTGGGGACCCATGGTTTAAAACATAATTGCACAATGCAAGCTATGTGTGAATCATATAAAAGGAATTAGGTAGCATAATAGATTGTCAACATTTAGAGCTATAATCTCTATCTAGTAACAGAATCAAAACCCATCCAAACTCATCTGGTATGCTGATATAGTATCACAACTGCAACGTGTAAGCATTATTACAAAGGCATGACTGAACTAGTCATTATCTGATATAATCAAACTTTAGGGTCTGTTGAGTTATCAATGCAGTTCTTCTGTTTATATGATCTTATCTGATTTAATCTTTTTTAGGTAGTATACCATTATTAATATCAGATGATATTGTTATTTCTCAGCCAGCAAAAATATTAAACTTTTTAAGAAAACAGGTAGGTTTTATAATTACTATTACCTATTCAGTATGTTTAAAGAGTAAGGATGATATACTGTAGAGTTGTTTTATATTTGTTAGTACTGTATATAGTTTTGTCACAGGAATACTGGAAGAACTGGTACCAGTTAATTTTCTATACTAAATGGACAGTATTAGCAGTAAACTATTTGTACTTTCTCTGACATAATTATATCAGGTTTAGATTACTACAAACCATAGCTCTATTAGTGGTATAATAGAGAAGTGGAATTTTTTAAACTGAAGATATGGCACCATGATGGCAAACTTATGGCACGCATGCCAGAAGTGGCACGCAGAGCCATATGTCCGGGCACCCCAGCTGTTGCCCGTTACTCTTCCGGGTTCAGCTGGTCTTTATACGCACATGCAGCCCAGAAACCAGAAGACCAAGTGCTGGGGAACTGCTCTTCCGATTTCTGGTGCTCCCACGTGTGCCCGCACTCCCGTTTCGGCACCTAGTGCCGAAAAGGTTCAGCAACACTGATGTAGCACATCCATTAGTTAGCATTGATACCAGCTACATAGTACAAATCCTTTTGCTTTTGTGATCGTAGGATATAGGATTGCAGTAGGATTGTTCTTTGTATTGCTACCTTTTTAAATTAAAAAAGTAATCTTAATTTTCCATTGAGTGAGGGGGTTGTTCCTTTACCTCTTAAGGGCCCCTGGTTCACTCCCTTCTTAAGAAACCATTACTGGATCCCACCATACTGGACAATTTTCATCCAGCATCTAACTTAGCTTTTTTGCAGAAGGTGATTGAGAAGGTAGTTGCATAACAGAAATAGATTGTGTGGATCACTTTCAGGCACCATTCAGGCCTGGATATGGGACAGAAATGGCATTGGTCATGCTTTTCTATGATCCAGGGGTGAAATGCTCCCGGTTCAGACCGGATCGCCCGATCCGGTAGTGATGGTGGCGGGTGGTTCGGAGAACCGGTAGCAAAAATCCCTTCCCCCTCCCCACCCGTGCCCAGCTGAGCCGCGCGATCATCAGAGGCTTTTTTTACTTTTAAAAGCATTTTTTCTACAACCTCTTCAGCCGAAGAGGTTGTTAAAAAAATGTTTTTAAAAGGTTAAAAAAAGCCTCTGATGATCATAGCTGAGCCGCACGATCACCAGAACCTTTTTTTTACTTTTAAAAGCAATGCTGTTCTACTTACCGCATGCCTTCTTTTGGCGTGCACTGCGCACGCGCACCTCACATTTGGTGCGCAGTGTGCATGCACAGCCAGCGAACCGGTAGTAAACCGGTTCAGATTTCACCACTGCTATGATCTCTGATGAGGGAGGGATGGGGTTGTACATCTATTCTTGTTCTACTTGAGCCCTCTGCAGCCTTCAGCACCATTGGCCATGGTATCCTTCTATATTGGCTTAGAGGATTTGGAGTGGGCTACAAAGTGTTGAGCTGGTTTGCCTACTTCCTCCAGAGTCAATTCCAGTTGGCGCTGATTTGGGAGGAGAGATCCTGCCCTCAGCCTTCTCCATGTGGGGTGCTGCAGGGTTTGGTGCTTTCTTTTCTCCTATTCAACATCTACATGAAGCTGTATGAGAAAGCTTATTCCTTGCCCTGATATGAGGTATCATTGGTATACTGATATACCCAATCATATATATCTGTCTCTGACAAATTAAGTGACGCTATAAACCTCTTATCCAAGTGCCTAGAGACTGTGAGGTTCTAGAATGTGAGGGTCTGCTGAAATCTGGAAAAACTGAGTGGCTTTGGGTTTGGGGATTTACCAGTTCTAGAACTCTGCCATCTTTGGTGCTGGATGGGGACACACTTCCCCAGATAGACCAATTGTGTAATTTGGAGGCCCCCTGGATGCATAACTCTTGCTCAAGTAGCAAGTGGCAGTTGTGGCTAGGAGGGCCTTTATACAGCTGCATGTTGTGCACCAGCTGCACCCATTCTTAGATCGGGAGGCTCTGTCCGAATCATCTCCAGATTGGATTTCTGTAATGGGGCTGCTCTTGAAGAGTATTCAGAAGCTTCAGGTAGTGCAGAATGCATTGCAGCGGCATGGACAGTTATCTGCTCCAGGAGCTGCATTGGTTTGCTTCTGGATCCAATTCAAGGTATTGGTTTTAACCTTTCAAAGCCTTCATGGCAGGATACCAGGTTATCTGAAGGATCGCCTCTCCCCAATTACATCTGCCCATCCCATTAGGATATGCTTTAGTTTTTCAGTCCCAGGAGGTGGGCTTTCTCTGTTGTAGTACTCGCCTGGAACATTCTCCCCCAACCCATATTAGGATAGTTTTTTTTTTTTAATTTGATTTATATGCCGCCCTTCTCCGGAGACTCAGGGCAGCTTACAATGCATTAAGCAATAGCCTTCATACTTTTGTATATTTATACAAAGTCAGTTTATTGCCCCCATAATCTGGGTCCTCATTTTACCTACCTTAGAAAGGATGGAAGGCTGAGTCAACCTTGAGCCTGGTGAGATTTGAACTTGCAGTAATTGCAGGCAGCAGATATAAGTGGATGTTAATAACAGTGCTTTAGTCTGCTGAGCCACCAGAGCTCTTCTCAAAAAGTACCATCCCTTTTTGATGTTCCAGAGGTCCCTCAAGACTGGCTTTGTTATCATGCCTGGTAGGGTCTTGGGGAATCATAAGAAGGCTGTAGTGTTTAATCTTCTGTTTCCTGTACTATATAGTTGAATTTTTAATAATTACTTTTTAAATAATTCTTTTTATATATTTATTGTTTTATTTTAATGGTTGTATGCTAATCAGAGTTACTTCATGAAATATGTATTTATGTAGTAATTTTACTGAATAAATAAATGATGCCTTAAAATATGTTTGATTTAACAAATATTGATATGCATGATCTGCATGCCCATATATGCTCTAAATCAGGGGTGTCAAACTCTATTTCATTTGAGGGCCACATCAGGGTTGTGTTTGACTTCAGGGAGCCGGGGTGGGCGTGGCTAGGGTGGGCATGGCCAGCTTGACATCACTTGTGTTGGGGGCTCCTGTGGTGGCCTGAGTGCTCTGCCAGCGAAAATGGGTTCCCGAGCTCTATTTTTGACTGCAGTGGCCTCCTGCAACCCTATACCAGCGAAAACGGAGCTCGGGAGGGCAGCACTCCCGAGCTCCATTTTCACTGGCAGAGGCACCGCAGGCCGGTCCTTCACTGTTTCCAAGGCAGCCCCACGGGCCAGATCCGGTCCCCGGACCTTGAATTTGACACCCCTGCTCTAAATGAATTTCATCTCTTCTAATCACTTCAAAGCTCCATGATATAATAAAATGTAACAAACATTTAGTTTGCCTAACGATCTAAAATGATCCATGTGGAAAGAAAAGTTGAAAACTGTTTAAAGTCTAATACTGTAGTCTTCTCTTCTAGACTCAGACTAGATGATCTGTTTCTAAAGGAGTCAAGCAGAAATTAGAAACCTAGAACACTGCTTATCACTGAATCATATTTATGCGAGTATTATTGACACTAGTAGATTTTTCAGGCAGAAGTTTTTCTAACAGTCCTGAAGGTACATGAGACCTTCAGCATGTAAAGGTGGTGTGTAATACTGAGCTATGCCTTCCTTCTTTCCTGGTTACCGTTATATCAAATATTGTAGAATTCCAAAATGTTAAAAGAGAAGGCGGGCAGTAAAGTAAATAACTGTGAGTGGGAGGAATCCCAGGTGCTAGTAAAAAAAAGGGCTTTTTTAAAGTTGGCTCGAGATGTTTCAGAAAATGTGTTCTTTTTCAAGGGCACTCCTTCCTGGAATGTACATGAACAAATTGTCAGAGTCAGTTCATGGATATTCTAGAAGTGTCTTTGAAAAAGAACACATTTCCTGAAACGCATCAGGGCAAATAAAAACCATGTTTTATTGGCACATAGAATTCCTCCTCTTATTTTGTTTAACTCTTCTGCTAACAGAAACTGCTTACAAAAGAACTGAAGGAAATTAAGTTATCTTGCTCAAATCACAGGCTTCTGCTTAAAGTAAAATTCATGAATGGTAAAGCAGTTAAGAATGGCTGCAGATTGATTTCTACTATAGCATCTGGTCAGCAGAGGGAATTATATTTTGTTCTCCTAGGGAGCCACTCTGAAACTGGATATTGGTATGCATATTTACTGTAGAACCGAATTGTGTCTCCTAAATCCATAATTTCTTCAGAATATTCTGATAGAGTGCAATTTGAAATGTTTTGAATGTTTATCATAGAATAGAAACTAGACATCAGCTGCTTTCTTCCTTTGTTGTTATAGACTCATGCAAATAATAATTCATCCTGTTATATATTATAGTATATACTATATACTATGCCAAGAGCATAACTTTAAAAAAGATATATTTCAAAGGTTCCCATTGAATCAATGTAAGCAACATTTATACATACTTTTTTGTGAGGCACCATGGCGTTTATGATGGCCAAAAGTACTCATAGACCATAAAGCATATTTTCCAAGGCTATTGTAATTTTGAATAGTTGTTAAATGACCTATTGTAAGTTGAGGACTATATGTAAAACAGTTGACAAAATATAATTTAACCTGCTTCCTTAACTGTAGTTCAAAGCAAGCTTGTTTCAGCTCCAGTAATTTATTGGATTCATTTCAATAATATGGAGCCCACCACCAGAGAGAACTGAATTGATTATTGATGACAAATGTATCCATAATGAGACATTCTGATGTTTTAAGAAGTAGGAAGAACTGAATGAGAGTAGATAATTCTGTTAGTTGTTTGGATTTAACAACCTGCCTTTAAAATTCAACAGACAATGTAACATTGTTTCATGCATTTAATACTCTGAAAGGAGAGCAGCATAGCAACATAATTTAGGATGCATATGCACAGTATACACCTTGGTATTTTGTAACCTGCCTGAAAGATAAAACACATAAAGACTCCATAGGAACAATAGCATTATGTTGCAACCCATGCAGTTTAACTTCCTCAACGAAAAACAAAAACAAAAACCCAACCCAAACACAACACAACAGTTATCAGCAGAGAGCAGTTCATGTTTAACTGATTCTCCCTCACCCCATGTCAGGCTCCCGACACTAAGAAAGATACAGAGTGATTCTTCCAAGCAGATTTCTGTATTGTTCGACACCTATAGACAAAATCTTGCCAAACTGAAGCAAGAGAATTATTAGGGAGGGGCCGTCTTTATTTTCCTTTTCTCACACAAATTATCTGAACTCAGTTGTCTCTTCTCTGGAATATACTCCCGCCCTCCCAGATTACATTCCATCATATCTCACCTCATTTAACTCTATCCAGTGTCAATAGAGATGAAACCTTTTATTGGCCAATGCATTCTCTAGATCTTTATAGCTTAAATATTTTTTTTAATAAACACAAACCACTTGTAGACATCAGGAACATTCACAAAGCTCCATTGGTTGCAGTTTCAAAGCAAAAACTGAAAACACAATTTTCCATGTTTAGAACATTTCAAACAGGCATTTCAAATGTAGAAAAAGAAAGAAATGTTATTTTTTTATTATACCATGTGTTTAGTGAAATATAAAATGTGTAACTTCAGTTATTACATCTAGTTTCTTTTTAGAAAGTTTCATATAACTCTGCTGCCTTTTTTTGGCAGAAATATAATGCTGATTATGAATTGTCTTCAAAGGATGGAGCTGACACACTGGCATATATTGCACTGCTTGAAGAAAAACTACATCCTGCTATGGTAAGAGCCAACTAGTCTCTCAACTTGCGTTTAACCATAGCACAGTTATTTCCTGTCCATCCTCAAATTATGGCCTTCATCTTCTCCCTGGTCCACAAGTGTGATTGTCAGACTTAAATTGTACATAGCTGTATCAATGTTAAAATAATGTTTTTCCACTTATTGTGATTTAGCAAGGTTGTTATGTTTCACTATCCTTTATATTGGAGATGAAGTCAGGTGATTAGCAGTGGGTTGATCTCTCCCTGTTGGTTCCCAATAAGCCTCTTCTGTCACCATTCTGCTATTCATTTCCTGCTGAGCTTGAGAGAATTATTTTAATCAATTCCTCACTTTTATATTGATGTAAATATACTTATCAGTATGGGTGCTTATGGGCAAACTCAGCCTAAAGATAGCTTTGTGTTTTCATTGGATGGACACCTGGTGCTACACAAGGAACCTGCAGATGTGTCAGAAGTTGGGTGGATTTGCATTATGGCACTAAAATGTTTAGTTCATATTTTTGTGAATACTTTTTCTACTGTTCCTCCTGGTTTCCTCAAGGCTATAGTAACATGACAGTGAAATGAAAGACCAGGAATTGTTCTCAGGGAAAACAGCATGGGAATGAGTTGACACTTTACAAATGACTTATGCCAGAATGGTTTGTTGAAACAACAGTACACAAACTGGCCTAAAGCCATCCAACAGAGCCCAGTGTTGCACTCTTTCCATTTCTGCTGCAAAAACATGATTGGCAGATGTTTCTCCTGACTTTGTAACATGTTGAAAAATGATGGCAGCAAAGCAGTAGTACTTAGCCAGTCTTTTATCCAACATGCACTGCAGATACATAAGCAATACTAGAAATCATTAGAATTCATTAGTGATTTAGAAAAGCCAGGATAATGTTAGGCAATGGTCAGTAAATGTCATGTTTATGTAGGTTTGCACTAAGATAAGGATCACTTGAGGATACTTTTAAAAATAGGCATAGAGAGCTATTACATGTGCCAGAGTTAATATTTTGTCTTTGAAATTATGTGCCATCAGGTTAGAGTTAACTCTTAGCAACTACATAGATTGATTTTCTCTGTGACAATCTGATGCTAAACTGGTCATTCAAGTCTTCTAGTGATGCATCAGTCTTACAGGTAAACATCCCTTTCTTCTCTTTCCTCCATTTTGCTCAGCATTAGCTCCTTCGCCAGAGTTAGGACTTCATATAATGTGTTTAAGATCGTATAATTTGAGCCTGGTCATTTATGCCTTGACAGAGAACTCTGGGTTGATTTATTCAGTGATCTGTTTGTTTGTTTTCTTGGCAGTGCATGGTATTCTCAGGATGCTTCTCCAATGCCAGAGTTCAAAATTGTCAATAACAGTACTGTTTCTATCCTGCTTCTTCAAAGGTCACCTTTTGCTCCCATGAAGTGGCATAGGGAATACTACTGCTAGCATTATTTCAATTTTTGTAGTATAAACACATCATGGCATCTTTTCAAAGGCCTTCTTAGCCGTTCTACCAAATACTAATCTGTAGCGTATTTCTTGAATATTTGTTCTTTTACTAGATGGTTGATCCTAAAAAGCAGAAGCTATCACTTCAATATCTTCATTGTCAATTCTAAGCCTTGTTTTTATACCTGATGTTATTAATTTGGTTTTCTTTTTATTTAATTTTAATTTTCACTATACTCTTTGACATTTATTATTAGGATTTGCAGATTCTTTTCATTTTCAGATGTCAAGAATAATAATTATAATGCAGGTTATTGATGTTTCTTTCTCCAGTTTTAAAATCACACTAGTCTCTTTCAACCCAGCTTCCCTTAATATATATTCAGCAAATAGGTTAAATAAATGAAAGGATACATCCTTGTTTCACTTCTTTGCCAATCTGGAGCCAATCTGTTTTGCCGTGTTCTGTCCATACTGTGACTTCTTGACCCTTTATATAGGTTTTACATTAGGACAATGAGATATTCTGGAATCTCCATTTTTCTAAGCACATTCCATAGGTTGACATGATTAACAAAATCAAAGGCCTTTCTATAATCAATGGATCACATACTAACTTTTTGGTATTCTGTGCCTTTCTCAATTATCCAGCCTGCATCAGCAAAATGTCTCATGTTCCTTGGCTTTTTCTAAAGCCAGCTTGAACATCTGGTGTTTGTTTTTCTATTTCGGCTGTAATCTGTGTTCAGTGAACTGAAGTACTATTTTGCTAGGATGTGAAATTAAGGATATTGTATGATAAGTGTGTGTGCATTGTTAAGTTTCTTATTTTTGGAATTGGAATGTAGATTGACCTCTTCAAATCTATTGGCCACTGTGTTATTTTCCAGATTTGCTGGCATAGCTTGGTTAGAACTTTTAATGATCCTTCTTTTATTGTTGGCCATATTTCTGTGGATATTCCATCAGTTCCTATAGCCTTCTGACTTGATAACGACGAGGGTGCTGATCTACTATAATTTCATCTTCTAATACTAAGATTTGTGTAAATAGTGAATATGTTTTAAAGTATCTTGGATGTTGACATTTCTACTGTGTAATATTTCAGTGTGCTCCTTTGATCTTTTATCTCTTTCAAATCAGTTACTATCTGTCCATTGGCATCCTTTAGCATACCAATTTGAGGTTGAAACTTTCTTCAGAGATTTTTTCACAAGATTATCCTTTTTAAATGTCTGCTTCTATCTTCTGTGTCTTTACAGATGTTTTAATAGTGCTTCATGTGTCTTCTAAAAGCTCTCTTAAGTTTCTTCCTGAGGTTTTTACCTTTCTTGGCTTTGGCTTCTCTTCTCTTCTTGGCAATTTTGATGGGTTTTTTTCCCTGACATCCAGTTTGTGTTCTTCTGTTTCTTCATCTTTGGCAGTGTCTTTTCACTTTCCTCCTTAGCCAGTTCCTCTGGTTCTGTGTCAATGACCTCAGAACTTCAAAGTGATTCCTGATGTTCTCTGAAAATGGTAGATATATGTTCATATTGTGGAAACTGTCTGTTTTTCTTGTTCTTCTTTAGCCCAACTTAGAACCTGTACATTGTAGTTTCTAATCTCTTACACAGTCAGCACCTGGGTTTCTGTTTAATACCATAAGCGAATTCTTCTAACCTATTTTAGCAATTGTAGTCAATTTGATTTCTGTCTACTCCATGTGGTGCTTCCATGGATACCTGTATCATTTGGTTGTTTGAAGATAGTGTTAGCTATAAAGAAATAATAGATTGGCAGAAATTGATATGTTGATGTCCTCCTTCATTTTCAATTCTTAAACCATGCCAGGGTGGATAAAAATCGATGATTTTTTAAAAAAAACATTTAAATGAGATTTTTTTTATTTAAATGAGATTTTTTTTATTTTTATCAAATTTATTTTAATAAAATTCTTTTGGAGTCAAAATCTATCTAAAGATAGTTTTCTATTTAAGATACATTAATAATTTAGTTTATTCAGCATGAAATGGAACTTAGTTATGTAGCATGAGACTGTATATTCTGCAATATTGGGACTGTCAGTGAGTCAACAGCGGGTCAGAGGAGGAGCCGCTGCAGGACAGAGATGGCAGTTGCTCTTTAAAAATTATGATTTAAATCGAGTTGATTTAAATCAAGCCTTTTTACTAGTGATTTAAATCATGATTTAAATCGACTTGATTTAAATCGACTTGATTTAAATTAAATCCACCCTGAACCATGCAGTGTAACATTTTCCTTAATATTTCCAACTTTGGCAATCCAGTCTCCAATCACAAGCAGCAGATTTTGTTTTCATGGTCTGTTAGTTTTAAATTGAATTTGATTTCAGTGATAGAAATATGAGAAGATTATTAAGTATAATGTAATAATCTTCTCATATTTCTATCATTGAAATTAATGGAACTTAATTTGGGATTGGTGTTTGTATGAATTAGCTATGAAACACTTAAGGAAGTGTCTGTTTAAAATCAACATTTAAAGTTATAATTGAAAATGAGATTAATTTAGTCAACTAAACAGGAAGCTTAATCAGCTTTGTAAATTATACTTGTATGGCCTACTTCTTAAAAACAATAGTTCAGCCTAAGTCTGGACTGTGTTATTTCACATTACAAATGCAGATTTTATTAAAATATTTCAAAAGGAAAACTAGAAGGTGAAAAGGGTTCTTTGATTTATTTTATTAAAATATTTATATGTTTTCTGTAGGTGGGTCATACAAAACATAGAACTGCAAATGCAGAAAAGTGAATGAAATTAAGAAGCAGTAATATGCAATAGTTTATTATTAGTTTTCAAAATAAATGGATTTTATATTATATTTATATTGCAAAGTGGCACAAGCAAAGAAACCTACAAATGTTCTTGACATTTTTATTATGTAAGTTTCTGTCTACAGTTTGTAAAAATGAGGCCTGTGATATCACAATCATTAAGCTAATTATGAAATTATTTGAAATTTCAAAGTTATATTCACACAACATGCTAAAACATAATGTTACTTATTTTGATTTTAGTTAGCAAGATTCATGAACCCTGGCATTATGGTTTGCTGTGTTTGAACCAAATTTCTGTGGTTTATTGAGCAACTGATCAAAACAAGTCATACATTGGTGTGATATGTGCTCAACTATTGTTACCATGTATGTTTTTCAAATTAATTACTTTTATTGCTTATTTACACAAATTATATTTCAGGAAGAATATGCCTTAGAGGAAGAAAAGTGTTATTGCTAGTCTTTTCATTATAATAAATGTGCTGAATTTCCCTAGTCATAAATCTGGGCTATGTATATGTATAAACTCTTAGATTTCAAATTTAGAGATAAAAGCTTCAGTAAAAATACATATATTTGCATTTAGTTTTTAGGAATTAAAAGAATATTGTAGTCTTTATAGAATGTGTCTTCATTCCTGAATATTAACATTCTTTATCTTCATGGTACAGCTGTATACTTTTTGGATTGAAGCTGATAATTACTATAATGTGACAAAACCATGGTTTGCTTCAAGGATTCCATTTCCATTGAGTTGGTACCTACCTAGAAAGATGTCCAGGGACGCTGTTAATAGGATCTTGCTGACAAAGGGAGGGCCTCCGCTCTATAGCATCACTGAAATAGAAGTTCAGGTAAATTTCTTAGTCAATTAAAATTGATGCAGATGTACTATCACTGCATGATAAATGCAGTATCGTTTACTATTCTACTTCATAAGATGGTAGATGTTTAATCTTCAGAATGTAGTGGTGTCTTGTTTTGTTTGATATTATTTACAGAATATTTACCATTCTATCAAGGCAGAATATACAATCTTTTCTTGTGTTTACAGATAATATATTCTTTTGAGAAGGACCCTAATTTTGTGGGAGAACCTCTTCATTTTTTTCCAGAGCATTATAGAAAGTTCCATTTGCTTTCTAAACCAAATCCCTCCTCCCTGCACTTTATTACTAACATTAAAAAAAGATTGATCTAATATGGTGCTATAGAAACTAAGAAAAAATGTAACTTTGAAGGCGTTCCAGACAAGTACTTTGTTTATACCTTTGTATATGCCAAAGCATTATTTTGGAATTAAATCTAAAGCCCTGCTCAAGCTTTTTTTCAAAATAGAAATTAAAGCAATAAGTGAAAACAATTGTTTACCATACAGAAACATTTTCCAGAGCTTTTACATAACTTTCTTTGCAACCTTTGCAATCAGTATGAGAGAATTCTCACCACAAAAGTAGTGCTCAAAAAGTATCCACCATTGTAAAAGCACTCCACACACTGGTTTTATCTGTGTTGCTAAAATTCCTACTGCTTTTTTTGAAACCTATGAGCAATATTTTCTCTGATACGTTCCATGTATTGGAATCTAATATGAATTAGAGTGTCCTTTTAGAAAAGAGATGGCCTGAATTTAGTTTTCTTTGGGGTTTTGATTTTCTATTCTATACTCCTGTAGCCCATCAACATGATACACAAGGCAATAGTGTTGCTATTATAGTATGCTATAATACATACAATATACACTGCTAATAGTAGAGATGGGCAGCCCATGAGTTATACTCAGACCCTAGTACATCTGTGGGTCTTAAAGCAACATCTTGGATTTTTTAATTTTTTGTGTGGATGTAAAGTTTAAGAGGCAATTTCTCCCCAGAAGCTTCCTTAAGACACATTTATAAAATGACACTCTCTAATTTTAGCATCACTGCTTTGAAATCTGCTAATTTCAAAGCAGATAACTTGTTTTTTGATAACTTGTTTGAATGGAAAAATACATTCAAGATATGCATTTTGCTGCATTTTGTATTAACTGAAGCATTACAAAATTCAGGGGTAGCTTCCTTGAAAATTATGGTAGATAAATTAGGTTATCAAAAATGAGCAAGTTTTTGATGCCTGAGGGTTGCACAACATTTTTGGGAAGCTCAAGGAACATTGTAGGTGGAACAAAAATGCAACATGGAGCTAACTTTTTTCATTAGTTTTTGAAGGATTCTTAATTTTGTTAATTATGATAAGACTGGGGTATCACATTCACTCCAGTTTGTAGTATATTTACTGTCTCAAAATATAGGTTCGCTACTCTTGATATGTAGGAATAATATGATAATAAAATGAATCAGCCACAGAGAAAAATAGCAATTGCACTTTCATTTGTATACCACCCCATAGTGCTTTACAGCACTCTCTGGGCAGTTTACAATGTCAGCATATTGTCCCCAACAATCTGGTTCCTCATTTTACCGACCTCGGAAGGATGGAAGGCTGAGTCAATCTTGAGCCCCATCAGGATTGAACTCCAGGGTGTGGGCAGAGTTTGCTTGCAATACTGCATTCTAATCACTGTGCTGCCAGGGCTCCTGTAAAATCCTGTAAAAAAATAGAAAATAGGATAATATATAATGGAGTAAGTAGAGCTGTGATATTTTGTATGTTTCCACAAACAAGAGTCAAGTTCTCAGAACTGTTTTAAGATTAATAAAGATATTCTGTAACCGTTGCATGAGGGAGCAAATGACAGCATATAAGAGATGGTGTTATGCAAATAATGCAACTTATGCAGTTTTGTTAAACATTAAGACATGAGCACGGGTGTCAAACTCACCACATCATGTTGCCATCACGTGATGTTTCGTGACTTTTTTCCCATTCACAGAACTGGGGTGGACGTGGCCTGCACGTGACACATCCGGCCCATGGGCCACCAGTTTAACACCCCTGCACAAGAGTGTGCTAATAGCATTTGCTTGATGACATCATCATGTGCATGTCATTTTAGCAACATTGTGTTTGGCTGCAAGTGGCTATGTCTGTAATGGCACATTTTTTAACATTGTGATATAGGATAGATAATGTAAAAGTTAATACTTTACTATCTATTATGAAGACTCTGCATTGATTTGAAATAAGTACTGGAAACGTTGTGCAGATGAACTTTTCTCCATTTTAGATCTACAGAGATGCAAAAGAGTGTCTTAATCTTCTGTCAAATAGACTAGGCTCATCTCCATTTTTCTTTGGAAATAAGTGAGTATAGAATGTTTATGGTGTTTGTAAGGCATTTTAATGCTACTACATTTTGTATTTAAAAGTATGTTAAGACTTTATTTGATTTGCCAGCTTTTAGTATCAACACTTGTTCAACTACTGATCACCATAAACTAAATGATGACTAATTAAAAATAATTTTAAAAAGAATTCAAGAACAGCTTCCTTCAGATTCTATATAAAATGACATACTTGTACTTTGAATATCAGTGGCATAATTTCCCACAATTTTGAGTCAAAAAAGCAAGAAAGGTACAACGTACATTCTTAACAGGCTTAACAATTATTTTAAAAAGCCAAGTTAATCACCAAGAGCCATATACATAGTTACTACACACCATGTTTACTGCATGTCCTTTGATCATCAACAGGTTACTTACGGCTAATGTGGCCATTTCTTCCCTCTTTCAACCAGGCAATTTCCTCATTACCAATTACCAATTTGATTACCAACTAAATTAAATTTCTAGAACCCTCCCCAGTTTGTGGATTTTTTTTAAAAAAAATTAAATTGTAGATATCAGAAATTATTTCTCTGCATAATAATGCAGCATTCCTGCTACGGCACTATTTTATGGTGCTTTTGATGAAAGCTTTAAATTGCTAAAACTAAGACAATGATGCCCAGTTATTTTCAATGGTATAGCTCTCAGATCCTGCTCTGCAAAAGGGCCTCACCTTCTGTGTGTTTCCATTTTCAGTGCATTGCATGCTGAAGCGATGTTGATTTTTGTATAACATTCAGGATGCTGTTTTCCTTTAATGATGGAAAATCATCTTTTTCATAATTACATTCATGTGGAGAAAAAACACATTCATATATCTGAATCAATAATATGGCCATGGAAGAGATTTATGTACCTCGTCTAAATTCCAATCTAGATTTTTTGGGGCCACATGATAAACCCTTTATATAAGGGTTAGACTTAATTTGATGTCTGCTGATGAAATGTAGATTATATTCCAAACATTAACATCTGGCTTAAAGCTATTCATTTATCAATTCCTTTGTATGAGGACCATCTTCTGGCATTGACAGCTGACATTACTAATAATAGGCTTTACACTTCAGAAAAACTGCTGCTTTGCATGTACAGCCTGCAGCTAATTGCAATTGCTTAGTTGAATGTTATAATTAATTGGTTTAAGCCCATTTGATGAAGACAACTCTTGACTGATCCTTCATATTTAGAAAACATCTTGAAGTAACTGGAAAAAATTGAAAACAAGGAACAACTTGATTAGGAAACTTGCAGGATGGGGAGCACAAGCATAAACACTGCATACAATGGTACAATCATTAATTTACTCTGTCACTGAATACTGTACACCTGTATGGGGAAGAAGTTGTCATACCAACAAGATTGAAATTTATCTTAATGATACAATAAGAATAACATTCGGAACCCTCAAATCTACACCAGTGTCCTGGTTCCATGTTCTTTCTAACATTGCCTCCCCCTTATGTCAGGTGACAACAACAGACAGTTGGAGAATGGAATAAGATAAACAATCCATGGACTCCTAGAGATCTACCAAAACATAAAATATTAGATTCTCTATCTTGCACCAGTTTAAGTCTAGGAAACCAATTTGGAATAACATACCGCAGTCTTACAATCTAGATGAAGAATGGCAATCAAAATGGATGACTCTTAACAACTATAAACAAACAGATCATGTGGAGCCAATAAAACCACTTCCAGGAATGCAGCTGCCCCGAAAAATATGGAGCCATCTGAATAGAATCAGGACAGGCCATGTCAGAAGTAAGGCAAAGCTCTTTAAGTGGGGAATGGCCGAAAGCCTGCAATGTGTCTGTGGTGCATTGGAGCAAATGATGATACATATAGTCCGAGAAAGTCTCTTCAGGAAGTTTAAAGGCATCTGGGATGATCTCATCGCAGCAACAGTAGAAGCAGTTAGATGGGTTACTTCCTTAGATATTGAACTATAGCATCTATCCTATTGCGATTCTATGGAGTCATATTAAAACGATTTTATAATGTTTTTACCCTAATTCAATATTTTATTTCGTCTACATATTGTCCACACACTTCACATACATGTATTTGCTGATGCTTTATTCAAACTTACATTTGTGTATGTATGTGGTTTATTAGTGTTGTATATCAGTGATTGCATGACCTCTGTGGATGCCATATGCCAAATAAATAATAAATAATGAAGACAAATTAGTCATTTTCACAAAATACAGTCTTATTAGATTATTAAACTACCATGAAATAATGATGCAATTTCTTGACTATTTCTATAGTCAAGCATGTTACATTTTTATGAATTCAAAATGTTCAAACATAACATTTTACTTATATATTTCTGAACGTTTTTAAAGGGACTTGAGATAATAATGTCATTTTTTAATTATATCTAGACCTACAACTCTTGATGCCTTCGTGTTTGGTTTTCTTGCACCTCTTTATAAAGCACCATTCCTTAAAGTCCAGTTACAGGAACATCTGAAGCAGCTTCCTAATTTATGTCACTTCTGTGATGATATTCTGAGTTGCTACTTTAGACGAAACTTCTCAGGTAAATGTACACTTGTCCCTACACATATACATCTTGAAATCTACAGATGCTTGTTTGCACTAAGTCTATACTAGAAATAAATTCTTCACCAAAAATCTTGAAATCTGCCTTATAAATTTGTAAGGGCTTTAAAAATGGTAAAGGTTTAGGACTCTATTAGCATATATTATATGATGCTTTCTCTCTGAAAATTCTTGAAATGTTTGTAGAGATTCTTGGTTGCTTCTAATTTTATTTCTGTGTGTCTTGCCTATTTAGGGACCTCTCCGGAGGGACAAGATACAGTTGATGCGAATCTCCAGAAACTTACACAGCTTGTGAACAAGGAATCTAATTTGATTGAAAAGGTTCTTGTTCATTCTGATTTTCTAACTGATAGATAGGGGCCAGATAGTACTTTTGGCTTTAATTAGCTAGAAAGAGAATGACAGCCAGAAGTAGAAAAGAGCAGCCAAGGAGAGCAGAATCCATCCCAAGTTTTGGGATGCTTCCTACTGTAGTTGGTTTCAGCTGCTTTTATGTTATTCAGTCTCTGATGCCTATAGTGACCTTCACTGCAGAAAACCATATGATATGATAGACTGCGGGAGGGGGGAAAAAAGAGAAGAATGGTTCTGCATTTATCATCTTTATGTTGCTTTTTCTTTTAATAGTGTCTCATTCTTTAGCTTTAGCCCATTTCTCTGCCTTACTGAGGCAGTCTTTTGCACAAATATATGAAACTGCCATTGGGTGACTGAACCCTAAATTATTGTGTATCAATAATTTAGGTTTTGAAATAACTGATAATATTCAGCATTAGATTATGTACAAATATTCTCCTTTATTGGTAGATTATATATATTTAAAAATTCAGCATTTGCACTTGATTTAAAAAAAAGGGAGTAGGCAGTACATAAGTATATTTAGTAAGTAAATATATCACTTGGGTACAGTATGGACAATTCACATAATACCACCATACAATATATAAGCTATATAAGCCACTTAAAGGAGCAGAAAGATTCCTTATAATATTTGGGTGGGTTTTATTTAATTAGCACTTAGAATCTATACCTAACAATAACTAATGCTTATTTGATAAAGGAAAGAAAAAAGTCATCTGAGAATTAAGGAAGCGATCAAATAGGCCTTATGTATATTTCTATATACAAATGCAATATGGAAAATGTAGGCAATAATTTAAGCAATTCCAAAGTCGGAAGGACAAATTTGATCAAAAGGAATATTATTAAATCTAACAAAGCAGGTGGCCAGGCATTAGAACATACCCTAGAAAATGCTTTTCAGTATTTGGGAGTAGTAAAATTATAAAAGGCTGTGAATTCAGACTCCAACATTTGAAACCTTTGGATATGTTTAAATTATTTTGATGTTCTACAAAGGATCCATTAGCCCTTTCATAAACAACAGATAGTAGGAATTCTGGCAAAAAACATGAAAACAGATTCCCTAAAGAGACCATCATCCAACTCAACTAAAAATTAACAGTAAATACTAAAAGAACTAAGCTCAACTAGGACACATTTTAATCAGTAATTAAATTTCGATGCACAAAGTGTCTTTAACCCTCCTCAACAATATCATTTTAAATGTAGCTTTTATGAATTTATACACATTTATTGTATTTAGTCATTATCTAGCAACTCTGATTGTCTCAGAATAAAAATATCCAAGATAATTTAAGGGCATGAAGGTCTATGTCTTTTCAGGCATAATTAATGTATTAATATGAAAAAATAAAAGTTATGGTGCTAATATACCAGCTTTGTCCCCTGTGAGCTGCTTAATGATTTTTTTTCATACCAAAGATGGAGAGTGACAGCTAATCAAGCCATGAATCAACAAAACTAACTGCCATGCTTATGACATAGTGACTAAACATAGGCTTCCCAGGCTCTGGAGCTATGGCAGATTGCTTGAGGCCTACCAAGACCAAGCTGCAATAATACCTTCACTCTAGAGAAGACAGTTTTTGCAACTGAAGTTACTGACCAGCAAGGTTTAAAAAAGCTTTCAGAAGCAATGACAGATATAGCCAAGTCAATATTACTGTCATATAAAACTTATAAAATTAAGACTTAAAATCAGTGAAGGAAGAAATTGAATAAATTATTATAAAACAATATAAAACATACAAGAGAAATGCAATAATTATTGCCAAGTCACTTGATAGTAAGATGGGCAGTATATAAATTTAATAAATAATATAAATACTACATAATGTCATCACTCCAAGTTTATATGACTTCTTATGGAAATAATTAAAAATAGTAACTTAGCCACCATATTGGTGATGGTATGGTTCCAATCTGCTGATAGAAAATTATTACCTCTCCCTCATAAAGATTGCAGTTTTGTTAAGGCATGGTCAAGATATGTCTGCACATAATTTAGTATAGTGTAGTGAAAAAATACCAATAGAGAGCCAGGAGACTAAGAGTTCTAGCACTCACTTAAGGATAAAAGCCAGCTGAGTAACTCTGAGTCAGTCACTTTCTCTCAGATCAGCCCAGGTCATAAAGATATTGTTGTACACCAAATACGAGTCACTTTCTCTCAGCCCAACCCAGGTCATAGAGATGTTGTATAGAGAATAGGAGGCAAGATTATTAGGTGTGTTTGCTGCCTTCAGTTATATAGCTGGCCCTCAGTTTATGATTGCAACTGGTACTGGAATTGTTATTGCTAAACAATACAGTTGTGAAGTGTGGCATCGTGACCACATTGCTTAGCGACAGGAGTTCTGGTGGTCCAGATTGCTGCTGTTAAACAAGTACCACATGGACCATTAAACAAGGTACTTCTGACTTCCTATTGGCTTCCCCATTGACTTTGCTTGAGGGAAGCTGGCATGGAACGTTGGAAATCTTGATCACATGCCTGTGAGGATGCTGTGATGGCCAGACTTCCAAGTATCCATTGTAAGTCCTCATTCACTGCCATCATAAATTGAACAACTGGTAGTAAGTAACATGAGGATTTCTTATACATGCATAATTAAAAATGTGTGATCAAAATATAACATTATTACAGTAATAATAGGGTTTCAAGTTCATTCCAACCACAAGGACAGCATCTTTCAATGTAGGGATCCTACTTCCCATCTAGTACTCCTGGGGTAAAGTGTTGAAATGAGCCAAAGATAAGGCTCGAGAGCAGGGGTGTCAAACTCACGGCCGCATCACATGATGTATCGGGACTTTTTTCCCCTTTGCTAAACCAGGTGTGGGCATGGGCATGGCCAGCTCGTGACGCATCTGGCCCCTGGGCCAGGAGTTTGACAGCTCTGCTCTAGAGAGTACTAAATAAACAAGGTTGAATAAATAGTTTGTAGATATAAAATGAAACCTCAGCTGAAAGTTGATTATTGCATCCATCTGCCTGTCATATGACTGACAGATTTCAGCTTTAGCTGTCTTAACTAGAAGCACAGATTAGATGGATAAGCCTCAGTCAATTAAACTAAGATGCTTTTCTTTTCACCATGATGGTGTCCACCTGAAATCTACTTTCTTATAATTTAAATTTGTTATTTTTTGTCTTGTTTTCTAAACAACTGAACATTTCCCCCCATCTTCTACATGAGAGCCTTTCAAATACCTAAAGATAATGATCACATTTCCATACAGCTTTCCCAGGCAAAACATATAGAAATTCTATAATTATTCTTCCTACATTTTTCCTTCCAGGCCCCTTATCATATTGCTTGCATTCCTCTGTACATCATCAAATTTATCAATGCCCTTTCTAAAATGCAATACCAATAAAGGAAAAGATCAAGGAGAAAATGCAGTCCGTGGAAAGAACTCAACGCAGTGTTCTAGGTGCATAAGAAAAATTAACACAGTGATCAGGGTTAAGTTTCCTTTTGGGCATTTAGATCATTCCGTATAATTCTATATAATTTAATGCAAGGAAATTAGCAATATATCTCCACAAATGTTTGACTTCTTAATGCATATATAAATTAATCAGCATTTGATGAAGTGTTTAAGTTTCAGCAGCATTGTGAGCACGAAACGGTGTCTTAATAATATCTGGTTTGAAATTAACAGCCCTAAACTACCCCAGGATTCAATAGAGAAGTATAATTCAAATATAACAGCTAACTATGTGTTCTCAACTATTTAAGTAAATAATAAAGGAATGATAAATAAATCACTCATTAATATTCCATGAGATAAAAGAGTATTTCCATAAATACAATAAACTATCAGTCAAAATGATTAGAAGCAGTTATTTCCTAACAAGTTGTCAGATTGTAATGTAAATTAAAGTGTTAATAGAGGGAGATACTAGAGATGCTTGCGCAGTCTTGGTTTCATTCTGGTTATTTATTCCAATCAAGTGATGTATTTTCCCTATAGAGTCTTTTATTACTGATAGAAAAATTGAGATAGATAATCAAAAAGAGCAACAGAGAGCAAAAAGTACTATTACTTTGGTAAATTAAGATAAATTATACATTTTCTAGCCATTTGATGTCAGTACCCTTCCACCTGTTAATCATCTATAGCAGGGGTCTCCAATCTTGGCAACTTTAAGCCTGGTGGACTCCAACTCCCAGAATTCCCCAGCCAGCAAAGCTGGGCAGGAGGAAGTTGGCAATTAAGATAGAGCAATCAACTTTTCAGTATTTGTTTCTCTTTGCAGACACGAATTCTTTTTAACCATAACTTTAGACAAAAGATTTGTAGCTTCCTGTTCGGCAGAAACTTTATATAACAGTAGATATTCAGTGGTTTGTCAGAATCATTGGAGGGAACATACTTCTTAAACGATTGGGCAGTGCTCAATTGCTGTCTGACTCTAATTTTAAATATTTAAATATTTATTTAACAAGCTCATTTCCTGTTTTGTCATTGGCAGATATTTTAACTTTATTACTAGTACTTTTCGCTCTCCGTTGTTTGATTTTAAGGAAATAGTAGTATTAACTCTGAATGGTCAAGAATATTATCTCTCATTTTTCCACTTACTTCTAAACTGCTTTCTTATCTGATGGGAAGCTGCATGATTTTACACTTAACTCCCTGGAAGAGGGGAAAAGAAATTAGTGCAGATAAATTGGAAAGCATGTTATCATTCGTGTGATGACATGAAATAAAGCATACAACAATGTTTAGTCAGGTCAGCTGAATGAATCAGGCCCACAAAATCAGAACATGGTGAAAAAGAGGGATGAATTACAGAGAATTGGATAGGAAATACTTTAAAGTGTATCTCGTACATAGATAATCTTTAAAGGGCCACATCTCCATTTCTTTTAATGGATAAACAAGAAATAATATACTTACTAGTCAGAGTTAAGCGGTTGAAGTATAAAAAAAATTATGTATGGCATTCATAAGGTAATTCATTGAATTTATTGGTTAATGTTATTTTTGAACTCAAGAAAATTGCACTATTGTGTATATAATTAAGTTACAAAATAAATGATTGGATGTTACAATGTAAACAATGTTAAGAGTAATTTTATTCAAATATCCAAACTGGCCTTTATCTTGCTTCTGCAGATGGATGATAATCTTCGCAAGAGCCCTCAGCATCCTCCTCGTAAGCTGACAACTGTCAAACTTTCTACAGCCGAGGAAGGAAATAATTCACTGAATCGATTGTCGCCCTTATAGTTTTTTTAATTTCATATTTATACATGTGTTCTGAGAAACTGTTCATCTGTAATCAATATTTGCACTAAATCTATGTCTTTATGAATCTATGGCAAAGGATAACTTGACATGGGTACAGGTCCATTCATTTAACCGATTTATTCTATGGTCATGTTAAAAATATTACACCTAAGTTAACATAGGAAAAATCACTAGGTAATTGTAAAATATGCTGTTTAATGTCATCTTTAATGCTGCATAATGCTTGCCTTTTTAGGTCAATATGTCTTTTGACCAAAAGCTAGGATTTCACTTTTTGGGAATTTACTTTTCAGTTTTGACTACAATCATGTTGAACCTCAACTTGTTGTATATCAGAATAGGTACTGGATCCCCACTTTTAGCATTTTTGTAGTTTTCTACAATAGCTCAAATACTGAAATTAAATTATCAGCCTGTTAACACAGAACAGTGAATAGTGAATGGTATTTGCCATTTCGGAACACTTTGTGCAAGCAATGGTAAATATATGCAATGTATGCTATTTTTAAAAGAATATAGATTTTTTTAAAAAACTAGTCTTACTGCCATTGGCATCTTGTTTCATATTTAAATGTTTATTCAAATCTAGTTTTACAAAGAACAGGCCTGGACAAGCCTGATTAACTGCCTGAAAGCATATTGCATACAAATTGTAGCCATTTTTACTGAGTCCTTTTTTTCTTACTTTGTTCTCTCTTACTCATTGACACCTTTTTCATGTTTCTCCAGCAATTTCAAGTTCTCTGGAATAGGGAGAATGTCTTTCAAACTCCATTTCTGATTTCAACCATAGCAATTGGCATTACTTCTATTTAACCTGTTTTGTGCTAGAGATGCAATTGATTTTTGCCTTAATGCAATACAGCAACACCAACCTGAATGACCTAGCCTTTTCTCTGGGGTAGAATGTTTCAGTTAATGAATTGACAGGATATTGAGCATGTGCAGTATGTTGATCTTTGCAGACAGAGTTCCTGATGAGCATGGGCTTCCCCAAGTACTTGAACCAAGAATGGTAGGTAATACTCCACTCAGAACTGCTGTACATAGAGCTCTGTCCTTGACACTTTCTTGTTACAGTCTATTTATTTATTGTATAGGATCTAAAGGTCTAAAGCACACATGACAATATAATAAAAACAGCAGCAGAGAGCAATATAATGCCATAGCAGTGCATTGTTATTCATTATAGGGATAGAGATTGGCATTTCCTGAAAGTCTCTAAATCGAGCTCATTTTGTAACATCTGTTCATAATGGTACTGAGAAACATTTCATCTTAGCAGTAGTTTTGCCACAATTAATATAACAACACTAATAGTCCAAATCAAAACTGGACAGTTGCTAATAGGAGGGGTGGGTTGTTTAAAAGTCAGATGGTTAGGGATTGGCTTGAAAAAGGAAGGAATAAAGTAAGTTATATAAGAAGAAAGGGGATATTGAAATATTTAAGTCTTGAGATATTTGAATAGTGTGGAGTTTTGAAGGCACATTTTACAGAGAGATACTATGAACCTTTTTGTACCTGCTTGAAGTAGCTCCCTGGGCTTCTGTTTGTAACCTAGCTAGTGCCACAAAATAACAGGGTACACTACAGTGGAAATTGTAAAACACTGATGAAATAAAATATGGCAGGTTGCATAAATTTGGGGTTTGATCTAGGCAAGGGCTTTCATTGACTCAAAATTTAATTCTGAATTAAATCAATATTTTTTTTAGCAAAGGACTTAATCAAAATGGCATCTTTAATCAACTGATTTTTTTTGTGGGTATCTTAATTCTACATTTTTCATATGTAAACAAACAGCTTTCTTTTTGTTTGACTTTATTTTGCCAAATCAAACAAATCAACTTTTTTCTAAATTACTTAAGAGTATTCTGTGAATGTAGAGACATAGTTGTCTGAATAAGTTTGTAAATTTTGTATATAAATGTACTTACAGAATATTACTTTGTAAAATAAAGAATGTAGCAAAGTATCTTGTATTTATAACAATATTTTGAGATGTCTAACAATAAAATTAAAAATTCATGTTACTTCTGTAGGCGTTTCATTTATTGTCTGAATCTGCAGATGCCTATGCAAAAAATATCTGAAAAGAAGTGTTAACTTTTTTTCTTGATAAGGGTTTTCAAACAAGGTAGGGCTTCTTCCCCCCCAAGTGTTCATAATACAGCTTGACAAAAGTAATCGGGTTGACCATGAAAAAATTCAAAATCCACCTAGAGAGAATAGAAACGTACAGTTTCTGACTTTAAGCCCTTTGACATGCCTGTCAATCTACTAAATTTGATTGTGCTTCTGCTGCTAAAAATAATAGATTTCCTATGATTGCTCATCAGAAAGAATTTAATAATGTTTTCTTTATATAACATTTGGATTTCGCTGAGGTCTTGCATGTGGCCCTGGGGTCCCAGGCTATGTACCCCTGCTATATTCAAACAGGTTCAGGCTTACAAAATAGAGGCCACCTTCAAGGCTGTGGGAACTTTTCATCTAGGAAAAAAAAAGAGCAAGTGAATGCTACTAGTTGATCTCAACAGGCCGGTGTGCATTTTTTATTAAATTATCACTATTCTAAATTTCTAGAAAAGTGGCCAAACGTGCTGTAGCAATTCATTTTTAAAGTTGAATCTGAGAAAAGTTCAGTTATTTTTTATTTCTGCCATGAATTTTTTTATGTTTGGATGTTTTGTATTATAACTTTTTTGTTGTTACTCTTGTCATAATAAAGCAAGCCATGGAATCAAATAAACTGGTACATTTTCTTCAGAGATTAATATGATCTAGCAGTATGATGGTAGTGGTAGTGATGTTGATGACTAACTATAATTACATTTTGACAATGTAGTTTATTGAGCTTTCTCTCTGGTATTTTAAATAGAATTGTTCAATTCAGATAGTATACTCAATTAAGCTCAAACAACATAGCTTAGATGATATATGAACCTAGCTATTGTAGTTTATATTGCAAAAGCATGTTGTATGAACTGAACTAATTATGGTATCTAAAATCATGATTACACCAACTATAATTTAATAGGATATGTGAACCAATGTATTTACTGTAGCTTGCCTTTTATCTCTTTCTCATTCTTAGAGATAATTCTATAGGATGTATTTTGGAATCAGATTGTAAAATCATGGCAGATAACCCCAACATTCAGTATCACTCTGTAAGCAATTTTCACTTTGTATCTTCCATATCTTATTTGCTACTGAGTGATGAGTCTAAAAAGCAGTTTTGGGGAAGTCAAAGATTAATGATATCATTAACAGGATAAGCCTGTACATCTGCTTAAAAATAAATTCAATGCATTTTGGCGGTACTTAATTCTTATAGAGATAGAATTCCATCCTAACAGAAGTTACAATCAGCTTTATGGTCAGGTTTTGGGTTTAAATGCTGAACATTTGTGAAAATAAATTGCAGTTTTTACAACTGCTCTCTTGCCACAGGAAAAACTGCTCTCTTGAGAAAAAAAATCCCTGAGGCATACAAAAAAGAGGTTTTTAGGGCAATGTTTGCTATTTTCGTACCAAATTGAATTCCATGTTAAAAAAATATATTGTCATGCCCTTTGGCAAACTCTAGAAATCAGAGCTTTTTATTATTATTCTAAATGACACTATTTGTAAAAAGCAACACAAATGGTTATCAGAATCTAATTTACAGGTTTCCTGTAAATCATATTTTTGATGCCAGGCATGTTTTGTATTGCTATGGTTACATACCTATTAATCTTATGCTATTCCTCTTCCATTTTTCCAGACCAAGTTCTCTTGTCCTACAACAGCTGGAGAAAATAAAGTATTTATGTCCTGGCTTCATTCAAGTGGAAACATTAGCTAGTCAGCTGATACTGTACATACAGTACTGAAAACTCTATCTGGGCCTCTTGTTACACAACACGTGTATGTTGAGTTTAGAGAATGGGTGACTTGACAAGCCAACTTTTCAATATTAGTTCCCAAAATGACTAATATCAAATTATTGCATAAAGCAGCTTTTTGGATACTGAAATTTTGATCAGTTCTTATTTGCTGGCTCTTGTTCTTCTTTTGTTCTGTGAGATGCAAAATAATTAAGCAACATTGTATGATATTCAATAAATAAAGACCAGAAATGATTAGGTCTGTTGTGTAGAATCCGAAATGATATCTTTGGGCCATAGAATAATTTCAAGGAAGAAAGCTATGCCCGGACTATAGTCCAGAAGGAAAGGAATAAGTCTTGCTTCTAGTGATAATTCCAGAGCAGCTTATTTAGAGGAGCAAAGGGATAGGTTGCCATGTTATGAAGACAGCAAGGATTTGAGTGCCTGTTAAATATTTATGCAAATATGCTTACAAGTATTTTATTTTCCATAACTGATGAAGTTGAATACTGTTTTTGCTCCAGGAAGCAAGTTTCTCTACAGTTTTTTCAAATCAAGAAATCATAACTTTTTTTAAAAAAATCAGACAAGTTCCTTAACAAGTAATTTGGATGTGACTGTGCTGATGGATACTTTAATATAAATTTCCAAGTGAATGCAAAAGTGAAGTAGGGAATAATAATTATATGGGAAGAAATACACTTTATCCCTTGTTCCTTACACCAAGGATACACTACACTAGTTTGGAGGTATGAGTCGTCAGCTCTTTCTGGAATAGCAACAGCTTAATGGGTGAGGCAGGGATCAAAGTGTATGTGTCATATCACACATGAAGCAGAGATTAGATTCCTTTTTTTCCTGAGTTTGGGGATATTTGTGGTGATTATTTGCTTTAAAAATACAGTACAGAACATCTCTTAGGGTTTAGAGTAGGTATACCTAGACCTTTTGTCCTTTCTATTATGTTTTTTTGTTTCTTACCTCAAAAACACACAAAATGAACTTATCAAATTTTGGCAACTAAATTTGGAGGGATTGGGTCACAGAAGAAAAACAATGGAGATACAGATAAACTATCAACACCTCAATGTACTAAAGAACCTATGGAAAGCTTTTTCACATTGCAAGGTCTATATGTTTGAAATTACCATTTATTTATTGAATCTGCATGTTATTTGCCTTAGTGTTAAAGCAACTCTAGATACAGACAGTAATAAATAATTAGAACAGAACAGAACAGAAACAAAGGTTCCTTGGTGCTCTCTGAGCTCTATTTTCTTGCAGACATTTCGTTACCCAAATGCCACAATATCATCAGTGTTGTCAGGAGTGGCGTTTGCTCTGATTTTATATTCTAATGTCTTGCTATGTCAGTGTTGTTAGGGATGATCTTAGTGGTTCTTTGATTAGCCTGTTTACTGTTAGCTTGTTTGGTGGTTCCTTGATTAGGGTATTGTTTACTTCTTGATGGTTGATCTGCTGTTAATCTTGGTGTTAATCTCTGTTCATCTAGTTGTTTTGGCTTTTTCTTTTTTTTTTTTAGTCATTGGTGTCTCTTTTGAATGGTATGTATATGCTGTTTATGTCTACTTGTCTATTGATGGCCAATTTGTCAAAGTGGCAGATTTCCAGGAATTCTGGGTATCTAGTGTTTTTTGAATTTGACTTTATCTAGGATGATCAGTTTCCCAGTTAAAACTATGGTTACGTCTATCCATGTGTTGTGCAATTAAGTTTTTATCATGTCTTTTGACTGTTAGTTGGTCTTCATGGATGCACTCTGCTCGTCTTCTGCTTGTTTGTCCTACATAGTGGCTGTTGCAGTCCTTACATTAGAAGAGAAACATCTACAACAGTGGCTATATCTAGATATCTGCCTCATGATCCTCAAAAATATGTTCCTTAGGTTTGTTCAAAAAATATCATATAACTTTGTTCTCTTTGTGGTCTTCACATATTGTTAAGTTAATTAATTCAGTTGCTGCTCCAGAGAAAACACAACAAAGATAAATGTGCTGCATTTCCTCTGAAAGTGCAGGCAGATGTTTCTCAATTGGCAAGAACTCCTGTCTTGTCCACTTTCTGGTTCCTGAATGGCTGTTTCCTGTATTGAAATTGCCATGCCAACATTCCTTCATTGTTTCTTCACCATTTTGACTTTGCCATGCCCCCACACAATGTTTTTCCTCACCACAAAAATGCAGTGAGGGAAGACAAAGGAGTAGGTATTTTCATTGATTAAATTGTGAAGCACTGCAGAGATGAAAAAATGCTGCTTGTGGGATGAAGCCAGTGATCATGTGGAAAAGACATAACCCTCATTTTCTCTTCCTTTTTTAATGGCAGGACAGCCCAGTTTGCACTTCCATTAGTATAGCAGAAAAAGGTGTAGAAGTTAGACCACTGCCTCCTCAGCAGAGGCAGCCCTGACTATTGCAAGAAAAGAAATTGCCAACATAATGATGTCTTATCCAGACTCACTAACGTATGTATTTTGTGATACAGAAATTAACTGCCTCATGGAAAAGAGTGTGAAATAGCTTGCTGGAAATCCCAGGAATTCTGTACATAATTAGTCCTATTCAGCACATGGAAGTGGAGAAGTGGAGTGTTGGACATGGGAGTAAAGAGGAGATGATTTAGCTAGGCTTGGTAACTCCCACCCATCTGGATCATTCCAGATGATTTGGATGACAATCCCCATTATCTAATTGTAATAAGAACCATAGTAACTGGTAAGGATGACAGTTAGGAGTCCAATACATCTTAAAGGTACCAGTTTGCAGGTTCCTGATCTTTTGGGAGCAGCATCCATTCCATTCTGACCACTGGATTTCATGAATCACTGGACAATTTATATGAGATGTATGATTTCAAAAAATTGTAGTATAGTTTAGTTTACTTTACTTTATTGTCATTGCACATGGTACAACAAAATTAAATGCTGTCTTCAGTGTACATTATAACTATAAAAATAAAAACGCAAACATACATCCTTTACATTCTATATAATTGAAATTGAAAACCCAATATTGCACTATACCATAGTATAGGAACACTCTTCTATCAAACTAATTTGTTAGCAGCTGCTTTCTCACGAGACAGCAAACCTCAAGGAAAATGTTATAATTGTGGCAAACCTGGTCATTTTAAAAAAG